GCACATTTTGCCTCAGTCCCATTGATGTTAAATGCTTCCTTGAACCCATTTAGATTTAACTGGCTTACTGAACGTTAATCCTATTTGAGAGAGACAGATTCAACCCTGATCCTTTCCTCCCTCCCCAACCCTATTTCTGCCCTGACACTATTTCTAACCTGACCCAATTCTAAACCCAAATCTATTTCCCCTCTGTCCCTGTCTCAACCCAGACCCAATTTTGGTCAGGCCGATTCTACCTTGATCCTCTTCAAGTTCATAACCAGTTTTTTTTTTTACCTTGTATGTCACAGTGAGAGCCGCTATATCCAGCATTGCAGGTACAGGTGTAGTTAGGGTCACCGGCTACTTGCTGGCACACTCCACTGTTGCAAGGACTTGGGGTGCACATGTCTAGGCATAAAGGTCATTTACAAATAGATTACACACTCAAGCCAAAATTTTGCCGTTTGAGTACAGTTCATGAAGGCGATAATTCTGGTACTGCGGCACCATGCTGGACACGTACAGGAATGAAGCTTTCTTCTCTTATCACCTAACGTGAATGAAACAGTTTGAGACAGATACCGGCAGCTATTAAAGTGCTTTTTGGTTGAGAAAAGATCAAAAAGTGCCCTCGATTTTTCATTCCAACTTTGTATTTATACCTGAACACACAATGTCGACATTTTTTATGCAATTTTGTGATAGTTCTGTCACAATAATCTTGTCCTAAGTATCATTAAAGAAGATTGTCCCACCTCTGACACTGCAGATAATGCCCGAATGAGTTAACGGGCAGGTGCATGTGAAGGACGATGGACCACTCACAACGCATGTTGCTCCATTCAAACAAGGGTTTGGAAAGCACGGGGAAATCACTAGAGAAAACAACAGGAGAAAGAAGAACTTTTTACATGGGAATTTTTGCCCTTCAATGATGACCATTTTAGAATCACTAAGTTTACTCACTGCCCTAATGAACTTAATCCTAAGCTTACTTGGATGGGATTCAAACATGTCAAGTCCTGCTTAAAAAAATGTCTTACCCCAAGTGACCACCGAGCATGTTTCGGTCAACTGGCAAATTGAGTCAGGTGAACACTGAGTGCCCCAACCAGAAATTTTTATATTATAGAATTTTGTGTTGGGGAGGTGTTAATTTTTATACTGGGACAGAAAAGCCCTCTGAAAGCTGTGCACGAACTGGATTGCTGTAAGATTTTAAAATTCTCAGAAACTGGTAGATTTCTTCAGCAATTCATAGAAATTAACAGTATAACACCAGGAAGTTGCTTCTAAGTGCTTGGGTAAAGAAAGATATATACACGCCTTCCCACACAACTACTTGTTGTCTGTTGCAACTTGGCAATGTGAACATGGATAGTCATACTGTTGTTGTATCCAGATTACTTACTATTTGAGCAGTCCACACCGTCGAATCCTTCAGCACATCGGCAGGAAAAGCTTCCCCCTGTATTGGGTTCACACGTGCCTCCATTCTGACAAATATTGACTTCTGCACACACATCTGTAAATGAATTAATAGTGACAACTTCCAGTGTCAACAATGGGTTGTAATATCCAAACAGCTATGTAAATGCCAAAATAACTGGGACCAGGAAGTGAGGACTATAAAACAGATAAAGAGGGATGATCAATTGCAACTCAACACCAGACCCGGTGTCATTAAATGAGCTTCAAGTTGGAAAATGGACATTTTGCAGTAGTGTAGCAGTGCCAAATTTTGAAGGGACGGCACACTTTGTTCAAACATCTTGTAAACCAAATGTCATCCCATGTTATTAGCTGACTTTCCACTGACTTCATTTTGTTTTCTGAATAGAAAACTACTTTAACAACCACAGTTCACACTCGATACTTTCAGTTCTGACCTTCCACTGGAAAGCTAGCTCTCTAATGATTCTGCATGATCCAGTTACAGCTCTTACCTGCTGATCTGGTTGCACAAACTACGCCCGACCAGCCGTCTGCACATCGACATTGGAATGAGGAGGAGGTAAGACTGCTACACGTGCCGCCATTCAGACAAGGATTAGGTACACAAGGATCCAGAGCTGCAAATCACAAAAAAGGAGTCCTAATATTCCACCCTCTCCAGGCTGCTCAGAGCCAGTTTGGAGGATAATAAACACAATACATTCATTCAGTACAAAAAGCAAGCTTAGGGAACTCTTGGTACAATGTTTTTATTCTCGAATATTTCATATTTGTGGAAATCTTTCACATTTTTCAAATGGACCTATCATGTTTTGGTAATACACCCTTGATATAAATCTTTTATCTCGAGCAAGGGCACTTATAATTCTGAATTTGTAGAGAAATGGGTTTGCGGGTACACCATGGAATCAATCTCTTTGGACAAAGTGTGGTTCTTAAAAGAACCGGTGAGTATAAACTCGACGTCTGAATTTGTTCTTCCATTCAGCCATTAGGGAATGACATACGTGCTTTAAAAGCCACGTTCATATTGAACAATCTGGCCACACTGGCTTCCTCAAAATGACTAGTGTGATTAGACTGGATGAATTGACTGGTATAGACTTATGGGGACCACATATAAATAAAGAACTTGACCACAGGAATGCAATCATGATGTACAAAAAGGCTGTAAAATATGTGAAGTAATCACTTTTCCAAATCCAAACACTTTAAGAGCCATTGTTACGCTGTACACTTGCACACAAACATCACAAAAGGGCTGTATTAGACAGACTTGCAACAACACTGACTTCAAACTTTAAAAAGCCATGCACTCACATTGTAAGCAATTGAGTCCGGTAAAATCACTTGGGCAAATGCATCGGTAGCCAGCCCCACCAGTAATGGGCATACACTGACCGCCATTGAAACATGGATTAGGAAAGCAACTAGTGGAATCAACTAAAAAAACAATAAATACAACAACAATGCAAGCATCCAGCGTCTACTACACAAACAAATCATGACCAAAACTATACAAAAATACAAAAAGGGAAATACCATCGCATGAAAGGAAAGCAGATCATAAGAAATACTGTTCAATTGATTGAGACATATCAACAACACATGTCAACACATATATTACATGTATTTCACGGATGGATTTGTGTCGGGGAGACGTAAATTAATTTTGGATTTCGGGCAGAGCCAAAAAAATTCAAAATTAAACATATATGTTGAAAAGCAATATCCCTTTGTTCACAGTGAACTTGAAAAACAAGCACAGTCTATGGTCGCTACAATACACTGAGCACAGAACTTCATACCACACTGTACTTGTTATTTGATGAACAGTGAAACAAAAATCGACAGAAAGGTGCCATGACTCACGGCATTTTTACTTGACACTGTTAGAGTCAATTGCTAAGCTCTAGTTGACAAATCTGTTGCATGCAAATGTGAACCCTGTGGTACACAAATAAAAATGGAGTACACTTGTGGGCTGGAGTTTTTATGCATCCACTCACTTTCACATCTCGTGCCTGAGTAGCCACTTGAGCAACTACATCGGAAATTGGATGTTCCCATCACCAAAGAGCACTGGCCGCCATTCAGACAGGGGTTGGATGAACAAGCAGTGACTACGGAGATTAAAAGAAAAACATGTCATCCAGTGTGCAAATGAAAAAGAGAAAAGATTTTAAGAGGATATCATCCCAATTGGGAAAGGTTGGTGTACACAAACAATGGATGTTTATGAGTGCAATGGAAAGAAATATTTTCATGAGGTGACAGACAAAATGGTCCATTCCACGAGGTGAAGCTGATTGGAATGGAACATTTCATCTGTGACCTGTCACCTCTTGACATTATTCTTACCACTACACGAATGTGAATTACCTATCATTTTGTTTGAAGTTTTGACACCTGCATAAATCTTTGTCATTTCCTCTTCCGTTGGGAGAACAAACGTCATCATGTATTGATGTCCACCATTTCGCAAAACAGATTTTGTTTCCAAAGCCCCACCCACTGGTATTAGTAGCACCATGGAATGTTCGACTGGTTCCCATCCCTGCATTATTTACCTCTTTCTTTAATACTGAGAATGAAACACATTAAATTGGGCTGGGAACCAGTAAAGTGAAATGAAAATCTATTGAACAGAATGAATAAGTCAGTGACATGTGATCAACAATCAACCAATCAGATGACAGAGATTTATGCAGGTATTGTACAAACGCCAGTATAAGCCTTAGCCTTGCCTTCCATTTTCAATGTTCCACAGACAATATAACCAAGCTAGTCCTCACTAGACTTCAACGTCAAAGATTGAAAAGCAACCATGTAATTTCATAGCAAATAGACAATCAAACTCTAACAAAGATTTTGCACTGATGGAGAACCATGACCAACAAACTTTCCACAGAAAGAAGCATGAAGCATTTCAAAACTCCCAAAATCAAACTTTCAAATTGTAACTATTCCCAAGAAGACTTTGAGCAGTTGGGACAAACTTTGAGGTGGAAGCTTTTGTACTCTGGGTGCCACCGTTCACAGCAAAAACACTATAAAACTTGTAATAATGCACTGTCATCCATTTCTTCTAATGCCATATTCATCGGCATTTTATAAATGTGGCTTCTTTCATTGCTCAGTGATTTTGTTTCTGACTCTGAGAAAAAGTGACTTAAACACCATCAACCAATCACTACAATGGCTCTCTTCCAGTTGGACTTACTTTGGCACCTCAAGCCGGAGTATTCAACTGAGCAGCTGCATTGGTAGTTTGCAGTTCCGGTTATCACTGAGCACTGGCCATTGTTTAAACAGGGGCTGGATGAGCATGCAGTAGCTGAAATTCAAATTACCGGCAGCAGAAAAACAGGATGAAACACAAAGGCAGCTAGTTAATCTTTGATAGAGACTCTGATGAAGAAATCATCAGCCTTCTACGACCAGAGCCTTAAGGTGCCAGCATTGTTAAACGTTAAAGTGAACCATTTGAAACTGTCCAAAAACATAAAGAAAGAATGAAATCTACTGCAGTTCTGTTAAAAATCACGCTTGGTATTAATAGAGAATAGCTTTAATTAAATTCCTTGTAAAGTCAGTCCCATCTGACAGGCTGTCATTTTGAAAGAAATGATAAAAGGAAGTCATTTCTACAGATACGTCAAGTGAAACCTTTTTAGAAATTTCAACAACTTAGCGATGTATTTAGCACACATTCTTGACCTTAGGCATGCATGTACTTTGGCAAGTTGTAAAACCCTAAAATGGTCAAAGAGATATTTACATACATGCGTGCAACCTGCAATCCATGACCTAGATAGTTGGGTTCAATGAAGCAACATGACATAGTAACTATTGAACCAAGTCATGAGAGCCATTAAAATCAGGCTTTTCCTCAAAAAACTCTTTATGGAGCTAAAACTTATCAGCTTTTTATGTGTCTTAAGATTTGGAGCAAATTTTGTCTCTTCAAACCCAAACATTTTCAAAATGAAAAATGGTCCATTCCGCATTTGAAGCAGTTAGGATTTTTTTCATCTAATTCATAGAAGCAAAAAGAATAACCACTTAACTTACTTTGGCACCTTGCCCCGGAGTAGCCAATCAGACAGCTGCACTGATAATTGGTTGTTCCAGTGACCAATGAGCACTGGCCATCATTAAGGCATGGGTTAGAGGAGCAGGCATGAACTACAACACGGTGGTCAAATCAAGATAAAGGAATGTGACGGTAATATAAATGCCAACAATGGAAGCTCAAAGTTGTTTTGGAGCTATTAATTGTGGGGTGGGAAAAACCAAAACTGGGAAATTTATGTAACCAGAGAAAAAATCATGACATACATATTTTTAAACTACAGACAATGCAGATTTTCAAAGAGACAGGGTAATTTCTAACACACTGTCCAAGACTGTGGTAAAAGATTTTATGACTTACTCTGACAAGTTGTTCCTGAGAAGCCGCTTTGACAAGCACACTGATAACCTGATGTTCCAATTAATGAGCACTGACCTTCATTAAGACAGGGGTTAGATGTACATGCAGAGGCTACATGGAGAGAAAACATTCAACTGTAAAGTCGTCACCACTCAAAAGAAACAAGATCGCTGCATCTTCACAGAGAGAAATCTCGATATGACCCCAGCTTGTTTTTACAAAATGGTTACATAAAACACACCAGTGCACAAAACATGTAAAATGAAGCTCCAGGTCTTGATCACTGTACTCTGGGTTTGCCAAACTTTACTTTCAAATGAACAAAAATGACCGCCTAAAGCAGAATTTACATGCTGCCAAGCAATGAGTTGAATTGAGAAGCAATCTTCCATACAAAGAGTCAAACCAGGTTTGCAGCATTGCTGGTGTTGCTGGCAGTGTGACTTTGGATGTGCCAAGAGGCAAGAAAGTATGTGTATCTTCTGACTAACTTCTGACTAAGCGTGCCCCCATCATTTCCCCCCCCCCTAAAAAAGCTGAAAGCGCAATGACATCAACAGGGCGGGCACTTCGTTCTTGAAGGGGCAAGGCAATTTCTCATTTTAAAAGGGCACTTGTACTAGAAAATCAACTTGTCTATGGGGACACTTCAATGGGAATGAAGCAAAAGACTAGGGGCATCAAGGTGATTGCCTCTGACGCTTCCGAGAAGTTCCAGCCTTGTGTCAAACTAGAACTGTATGTTAGGCATTTGAGTCATTCACTATCTACAAATGAAAATCGATTGCAGGATCACCTGTTCGGCTTTGCATTCGTGGTTTTTATTTGAGGTATTTCTCAGTGTAGATTGAGTGCATGACATTGCACTTACTTTGACATCTCGCGCCCGAGTAGCCTGTCAAACAGTTACATTGGTAATTTGAGGTTCCAGTAATCATTGAGCACTGTCCACCGTTCGACATGGACTGGACGAGCAGACATGACCTGGCAGGGAAAATGTGGAAACTCAACACTGTCTCTCCGTATGTAACTCTTGAAAAGTCTCATTTGATGTGAAATATTTCACCCATGACATACAAGTCAAGGCATGGAACCACAGTAAAAGTTTATGCTAATGACTGACATCATGTAATATATTCACAAAGTATGAGAAATGAATGTATCTATCCAATCAAACTATTAGGAAGGAGAAACACTGATGAAAAGTCACATACAAAAGTTGACAAGAATATCCCTATGTAGAATAACTATTTAAATTCAGATTGGAAAATACAGTATTAAAAGTGGGGCTTTAATTAATTGAAAATACCGGGTCAAAACTCCTCTTACATGAGATACAAAATCAACTTCATAAATAAACAGATAATGCCCTTAAAAAAGGTACTAAGTCCTATCAACTGAACCAAATGCTGTAATTATGTTATGGGTGGCAGCTTGCACGTGGAACCAAAAACAGCCATCATGTGTGCTGTAACTTCAGTGAAAAAAAAACAATTTTGCTTTGTGTTCGTCGATTACTGGCAACCAATGTACACAAGTGTCACCGCTAGCCCCACTAAAGCTAGACATGTTTGGGTAATTCCAGAAATTAGGGGTCCAAAAGTATGACATTTTTGTGTCCCTGTTACATCTGACCTTTGTTATTTCACATGGAAATATCACCGGAATTTATTTCAAACTATTATTATTTGTTTGGCAGGTATAAATTTGCATTAATTCATCACTCTTGGAAATTAGAAAATGTGTTCTGAGCTTACAAAATCATACGTCAGATGTGACAGGGACACGCAAAAACAATAGACCCCTAAGTTGTGGAATTAACCATATTTAAGAAGCGACAGTGTACTGAACAAACTTACTTTGACATCTGGAGCCAAAATAGCCTATCGTGCAGCTACACTGGAAGTTTGAAGTTCCAGCAACCAGCGAACACTGGCCATCATTCAGACACGGGTTTGAAGAACAAGCAGTAACTTGGGAAAAAACATATCGCAGAAAAGACACATCTTTTAATATGCCCTCATTAAATTGGACCGCTAACAGGTTTTGTAAATAATTCATTTTTAATTGAATGACGAATGTAGAGGCAGAATAATTGGTGAATGGAAATGATAACTTATAGGGACGTGGAGCTGAAGGCTTTTTATTCAAAGAAGGCTAACAGAAAACACAACACCAATTTCTACTGGAAACCGACACCATACGAGAGAAACTGTTTGCATTTTGGGCAAAGGCTAATGAATAAGAAAGTTCACTGACAACTTGTACTTAGGTTCTCATCATCTCGCAGAGTGACTTAAAAACAAACTCCAAGCCAGAGACGTGTCTGGACATCTGTTGGGAATCTAGGCTATTTTGAAGGCCAATCAAATTGATAAGACAGCTTATTTTCAAAACGTCACTGAAAGTCAATGCCTCAATAGGTGATGCCATGCGGCAGTGTCGTCAACAGGTGTGAGTGCACATCCTCACGACATCTGTGGCTAACTTACTTTGTGTTGAGCAGCGGGGACCAGTGTACCCTGACGGGCAATTGCACAGGTAGGAGGACCCGGTTGTTGTGCACTGTCCCCCGTTCTGACAAGGACTGGAAAAACAGGCATCGTCTGGCAAACAAGAAAAAAAGGACATCCTACTATTCAGGCTAAGAGTCTTCACCGTTAAACAGTACCGAACTCGACAAGTTTCAAGTAAAAAAAAATAAAGCTGTATTTTCACTGAACTTTACTCTGAAAATGCTTCTAATGGCCTGCAAAATACTTTGTCAAGACGGGATTCTGATACATGTATATCAATGAACAGAGAAATACATACTTTGAAGGCTTGCAAAATACCAGTTGGAGTGGCTTCGAGTCATAACAAATATTAAAGTCTTCATCCCAGCATTTAGCACAGAATTCAACATATGTACATGTAACTCCATGGGGATTTAATATTTGTTTCAGCATTTGTTTCTGAAGTACATTTTGCAATTGTAGAACTGCACGACTACAGGGGTAGGCACTGGAAAATAAATTGCCACCTGCCCCACTGAGTGCAAATTTGTGGAGTCCATTTCAAGTGGTGTGTGGGTAGGACCCACATTTGCCATGCTTGCATGAGTCAGTGTTCCAATGCACTTACTGATGGTTGCACACAGAGGCCCACTGGTACCCGTCCTACAAGTACATGTGAAGGTATTGGAACCGGTCACTGTGCATGTGGCACTATTGCGGCATGGGTTTGGAGAACAACTGTTGCCAGTGGTGGCTGAAAGGAAAAAAAACTGTCTTTGTTTCTCTAGAAAAGGCAATGTTTTCTGCATTACTTCTGGCCATCTGGTGACAAAAATTGCAAAAGAAGGTAAGCTGCCAGTAACTCATTGGTAACACAAAGGGTTTATCATGAAAAGGATATTGGATTGTGAAAGGTAAATAAGAATTTTAACCCCTTCGCGGCAGGAGACGGTAAAAGCTGCCGTAAAAATTGAAATCCTCAGCCCGCTTTTCAGCAATTATTCTCGGCCCACGCTCAAACGAACACGGTGAAAGTAGGCAGACCCTGGCTCTTGTATATATGGTGATTGGCCTTTGTGTGTTGCCAAGAAATGAAAAGGCCGAATTTGCACCATAATCACCAGCTTCACAAAAGTCCCCACTTTGAAAAGAGGCAACGGGAATGTGGAAGCGTGAGTAGAGCCGCACGCCACCGAACAATCAGCTTTTTCACTATGTAATTCAAAGCGTGCAGAGCACGCAGGGCCACAAACCGAGAATTTCTGGTTTGGCAGGTGGCCTTCATGGCCAAGCGAGGCTGGAATTCTTGGAGTCGGCTTTCAGAAAAAAATTCCCTTCGTCAAGGGGTTAAAAAGGTCATTAGCTTCATCATATTCAGTAGCACCAAACAAGCAAATTTCCTATGATACAACTGATAACGCAAATTCACTTTCTGATAAGTCATAGTGCAACAATTCAATAACCATTTTTTCTGGAGCCGTGAATTGACAAGGGGGCTGAATTTATCAGCGGAACAGAACATAAAAACAGAAGACCATTTCTATCCAGCAGAGTTTGCCGACTATTGGTTGCATGTACTCACTGGTAGTTTGGCACTGTGCACCGGTGAATCCTGGCTGACAGCTGCACTGGAATGCAGATCCGAAGGATGTGCAGACACCACCATTCAAACAAGGACTGGAGGAACATGCGTTTCCAACTACAAGAGGAGCATGGCTTTCATTAGTAACTCTTGGACTAAATTCATTATTCACGTTATTAGTTACGGCAGGACATACCAACTCAATCACTCTATGGACTTCTGCTGACCGCTATACAAAATCTAAACTTTTCAAAGTGTGAACAACAAAACAAAGTGGGTAAAAAAAATCAGATTATAATGTACCTTCAGAGACGTTGATTTGATCACAACTTATACACCAGCAATTCAAAGTGCAAGTTCAGAGTTTAAATTGTTTTCCAGGGTGCTAAATCTGTCTGATCTAATGCTACATCTGGCGTTCCACAGGGGTCCAACTTAGGACCTCTACTTTTCAACATTTATATAAATGACTTACATTCAAATCTATCAAATCCCCCTCAACACTATGCAGATGATACTTTTTTACACAGGCGAATTCAAGGGGAAAACGATTTGATGTCTCTCCAGACTGGATGAAATAAGTTCTTGGTCAAACAGAAATTTACTCTCATTGAATCCTGTTAAGTGTAAGTTTTTATTTCTTACTGGAATGCGTCGTTGCCCATATCAGCCTGCATACTTTTTAAATGGCACTCAGATTCCTGAAGTTACCAAGCTTAAACTATATGTACTTGGTGTTCACCTGCAGCATAATTTGTCTTGGGACACACACGTTAATTTGGTGACAGCTAAAGCATATAAAACATTGGGTTTTATTCATCATGTTGTGGGTGACTGCAGATCAAATACGCTGCTTACATTGTATGAATCCATTGTGTTACCCATTCTAGATTACTGTTCTCCTATTTGGCATGTTTACCGTGTTAAACACGAAACACAACTGGAAAAGTTTCAGAGGCATGCCACAAGGTTAATTCTTCACCAGAAGAGGCAAGAACAACCTTATAGTAATAGGCTTGCTGGGACAGGGCTTGCTGCACTGAACAATAGGTGGAATTACTTACTTCTGGCCTTTGTATGCAAGGAGCTGCTTTCCACTAATCGTGTTGGCATGTTTACATCCTTTTTAAATTTGTTACTTGTTAATATTAGACACGTGGATATTAAACTTTTCATTTATCATTTGCCAGCCCGCACTTAAATTCTCCATCCGTTGCTATTTCCCACATAATTGGAGCACTTTGCCTAGTGACTTGGCTCATAATCTGATATGCGGCCCTCTCCATCAGTTTTTGAGTGAGCTGAAGGGCCACTTTTCTAGCTAGGCTCTTTTTTTCAACCCATTGTCATATTTTTATCTTAATAATGATTATTTTTTGTCACGCTATTTCTTGCCTTACTTTTCTATTTGGTTCTTGGGAGACACACGCCTTTTGGGACAGTGTATTTTTAAACTTTTATGTTCTCCTGGGCGGCCCGCTGTGTCTTATGATTGTCTTGTATGTTTTATTGCCCCAAATAAATATTATTATTAGCCAGTGTTCTTTTACCAAAAAACTGCCTCTGTTTTTGAGAGAGATTTTAAACAGGACAAACTGTGAGCAAAATAGGCACTTTTGTCTGTTTATGTGCCCTATCACTGTCAAGTATCTGCACAGATGGTCATATTTGCCAAAATTTGTCAAGTGTCCACCATCCTAGTCCCTCAAAACATCAACACGAACCCATGCCCTCACTATCACATCTATCTGCCAGTCAATCGGCGACTTCTATGCCCAAGGCATTGATGAAGTAGGGCATACTGACCTTGTATTTCACACTGTGTGCCTGTAAAGCCTGTCAGGCAGTTACATTGGTAGCCCGATCCCAATGATGAGCATGCACCGCCGTTAAAGCAAGGGTTGGACAGGCAAGGTGACCTCACTGCCGGGAAGTAAACACAAATTACCTGTAAATAATCTCTTCACCTGGGTCTTCGAAAAAGGGAATTTTGCTTCAAAATATGAGGGGGGGGTAGGAAACACGGGCTGTAGTCAAGCCTAGTCTACCTGATTTTCCAAGTTGATCACAAGTCAGTCACATCAAGAATCTAAAGTGACAGGGATTCCTATGAGAAACGAATGCCTTTGTGACAACCAAACCTGTGTTGGACCAGCAAAGACTTGTGGCAGACTTGGCTACAATTTGTGCGGACAAAAGATGTGGCAGAGAGTGCATAAATGTTGACACGTGGTCAGTCGATACTGGACATCCTTTTACCAAGTCACAGCTTCTAGGATTAATTGTTTATTGATTAATCGTCACAGCTAAGGTACATGCAAATCAAAAACACAATTTAATGCATGGCATTCTGAGGAAACCAGTTGCCCGCTGCTAAAATTTGACACAATTCCTTCAACATGTGGGTTAGGACTATTGTAGACAGTTTGATTCCTTCTTTGGAGAGTTTGTTTGCAATCTGTCTGACGTTTCCTAATGCCCAAGAAAGAAATGCAATCTTTCTATAAATTCCACTAAACTCAGCTCACACATTTTGGCAAGAGACCACAAATTTGAAACCCACATTTCGGCAACCAACCTCTGTGTCTGGTAATGGTTGCCTAAAAAAGAACTTTAGCAATTATAGAATGTCATTCATTTTAATATGGAACACATGGCAATCCCAGACGCCCTTCCAGACAAAACAGCTCACTTACCTTGGCAAGTTGTGCCCGTAAACCCTGCTTGACAGTTGCACTGGAAGGAGGATCCAACTGTAACACACTGTCCATTGAGGCAAGGGTTGGGTGAACAACCACCAGTGGCTGAAGACAGGAAAGCAATGAAATAAGACTTACATGTATTTTCTACAATAAATGCACAGTGTAGTCAGACAGAATGCATTGGAGTCAGTAGACTGGGGACTTGATCACTGGTGTTTTAGTTTTGTCTTCAAGCAAGCTCTTGGACTGTCAGATTAAACTTTGCTTTGTTTCAAGTTACCTTTCCAAAACACCAGTCATATAAACGAACACACATGCACTCAGTGAACAGAGCTCATATGAAGTAGATCTTCAACCGTTCTCCTTGGGACCAGGGGAACAAATTTTTTAGTACAAGAAACCACAATGTTTGTTTTGAGCTCCAAGTATTTCCCTCAGATGTTTTGGAAATGAAAGATCCTGTGGCCAACATGCATTCAATACGTGGCTGTGTTCTTAACAGTAGGTCTAGCAATAATGCGTCAAGGAGGAAGGCCTGTAGGAAGACTTGGACGGACACTACTTCCCATCCTTAACACAATCTCCCAAAATTATGAATTGGGAAGAAAAGATCAACCACTGATTGACTGATAGCACCCATCACTGACTTAGTTTCAGAGACTATAAGTTCTAGATTTTTGCACTAGCCCAACCACTGGCACAACGGCATCTGAGCCCAACCACTGGCACGACGGCATCTGAACCATGGTGACTTCTTTCCTACCTCCATGCTTCTTTAAATGATGAAAACTCATTTTTGTCACGATAGTCAATAGAGGTAATACACATTCATAAATTAAAAGAAATGATTACAGATTACATGGATTCCTAACACTTCATTCACACAAATGCTCGTGCATGAGTGATACCCTGATGCCTACTTCACATGACTTCCAGAACTCTATGTCACAACACCATGCACAAGGTATGGAGTAGTGAGGTGAGGTAGGCCTATTATCCAACTCCAGAATGAATGTCACTACACAAGTTTAATAATAGGCTAATACATTTTTGCAATGTACACTTGTACAAAGGCCCATGTGATAGGTAGTCCGAGTAACTTGGACCCGACAAATCGCCTTTTTTTAACAAGCCTGTTTAGGGAATCGCTTATGGAGCTATCAGTGTCAATAGCTCCATGGTCAAAGTTATACTCGGACTAGGCCTACATATACATGTGTGATATAGCCTGACCATGCTGACCGTACTAAGCTACGCTGAAATGAAGACAACGTCCAACCTGGGCTAATGTGTGGTATAGGCCTAGGCCTAATTACATTGGCTTGGACCTATTCCAAAACTGTCATCAGATGGATGGGGTTATGCATCTCTGGGTTTTAAACATACTCCAAAGTCCAAACTGTCCATATCCCCAAATCCAGTGCCAGATATGAAGTACTCGATCATGCTACATGTATATTGGTCCATGAGCTCCATGATTGGTCTTTCAGCTGAAAAACTTTGATCGCATCATCGCCACGACGAGTGCAGAGAAACGTAAGTTAGACTTATTTGGGTGAGGGCGCTGTTCCGTTTTACTGGTCAACTTAACCCCCAGCCCCAAATTAGAAGTGTCTGTTTCGGGAAACGAGAAACTAAACGGGACATTGATAATACGTTTCTCGATTTTATTCACCAGCTGCAAAGTTCCCATGAAATTCCTTTTGGCTCGATTTTCCATTTTTTCTGAAGTGCGAAATGAACTGATGGGATTTCAAG